TAGCTGTTGGGAGTTTCATGATAGGGGTTAATGGGCGTCACTCAACACCAATTACTACTGGTCTCCTTGAGGCTGACTTGTTGGTAATATTCTTCCTACACTGGCTCCTCAGATGTCCTTGCTCTCGACAGTTCCAACAACTTCTCTGGATACGAGCCTTTCCTGCTGTGGCATCTCCCCTGTGCTGAAGTTGCCAGCATTGAGCTCTCTTGTGCCCAGGTTTATTACAGTGCCAGCAAAGTCCCTCAAACTTCTCTGAAATCTGACCTTTTCTGGCCTTGAATCCAGATGACTGTACCAACCTCGGTACCTCTGTGCTGGACTTAACGTAGGATTCAAATTCAAGAGCTCTGGCCATTGCATCCTGCATGGTAGAGGGGTGTGCTTGTATCTTAAGTTGTGGACTGTCCAAGGCATCTACGAATTGATCTCTCAGCAACAACTTGAGGAGATCGGGTGGTGCAGTTGGGTAGGCTTTGTGTGCCATGCTTTCCAAGTCCTGTGCCAGCTCTTGCAGGCTCTCCCCTTTAGCACGGACTCTCGTCCTGAACCTGGCCCTGTAGACTTCTGACTGGTTTTGGGTTCCGTACCTGAGTTTTAGAGCCTCTACCAGTGTTCTATAGTTGTGTCTGTCGGCTGCTGTCAACAGTCCAAGTATTTCCAGTGGTTGTCCCTTCGAGCTCGTTGCCAGATATACAGCTTTCTGTTCCTCTGTCCATCCATTCATCTCTGCCAGTAGCTCGAATTGTGCTCTATATGCTTCCCACAGTGCCTTCCCATCGAATTCCTGTGGCTTCCTTCGCACTGGATCACTCCTATTACTGACATTCATATCTGGGATGTGACTTCTAACTGGACTGAATATGTTTGCATTAGGGTTTAGCTGCGGGCTCTGTTAGGGGCTTGCCATTGTCTGGGGCTGATTAAGTCGATGGTCAATGTATCCTTGTGTAACACACAACAAATTGTTCTTTAACGTATCTAATTCGCTTTTAAATTTACTGATGTTTTCCATTTGTACTTCTTGCCACTGTTGTTGACTTTCCTGCAACTGTTGGATACTTTCTTCCTGTTTCCTTTCTTGTTCTTCTTGTTTCTTTTCTTTTTCCTCCAACAACTGTTGTAATCTTTCTTGTTTATTTTGCTGTTCGAGCTGCCATTGTTGTAGGTTTTCTTGCCACTGCTGTAATCTTTCTTCTTGTTTCTTTTCTCGTTCTTGTATTGCTGCCATTAAGTCTGCTAGGCTGTAGTTTGATTTGCTGCTGCTCGTTTCCATTTTCTTTTTTATCCCACTTTCTGACACCAATTTGTTACGTCTCCGTTTGTTAATTAACTTTCCGTAACTTCGTTCCGACGAAATTTTAACGACACAAGTCTACTTAATAAAACTGGTTTATTCTTTCCGAATATAACTTAACCGATACACTCAACTTCAACAATCGCGCTAAACAAACGCTATAACAACGAAAGTCAACAATACTTCTGACTGCAGATCAATTACTCACTGTCTACACACACATTACCGCGTCACGTTGTCCCCCTCTTTTATATACCCGACTACCCTATATCTAGTAATTACTAGAGCATTCGCCAAAGTACAGGATAGGTCTAGAAACGTGGCGTCACAGTGGTCATGTGACTCGCTGACGCAACAGTATCATTATGTGTGTATAATAATATGCTCAACAGAATCCGTTCAAGATCCTGCAATCCTGCAATCCTGGAATTCTAAATTCATGCTTTTAAGACCTCGAAAAGTCTTGAAAATCATCATTCATATTGATAGGCTTGAAATTATCCTGATTTTTGTAATTTTTCGTACCCTTAAAGACATTTTGTTTTAGCCAATGATTTTATCTGCACTGGGCAACATTAAGTTTACAAATTCCCTACTGAATTTCCTTCTTTTCCATTGGACAAAATAAAATATTTCTAAATATTGAGGATTATATTTCGATACAAATTTTATTATCACTTACTTGAATAGAGTAATAAAAACTGTTAATTCTTTTTTATCCCACAAAAATAATTTTATTGGAGGTGAAAAATTATTCAAACTCCTTGTTGAGTAGAAAAGAAAATTGTGTTCAAAACATAGACGCAAATTCTCGCGTTTTTTATCCATTTATATTACTTATTTCAAGCAGGTGTTTAAAGAGCTCGACTCTCAATCTGCGGATCGCGGGTTCAGATCCCCGTCCCACGAAACATGCTCGCCCTTTTAGCCGTGGAGGCGTTATAATGTGACGGGCAATCCGACTATTCTTTGGTAAAAGAGTAGTCCAATTGTTGGCGGTGGGTGGTGATGACTAGCTGCCTTCCCTCTAGTCTTTCACTGCTAAATAAGGGACGGATAGCGCAGATAGCTCTGGCGTAGCTTTGCGCGAAATTAACCAAACAAACAAACATATTTCAACCCGTTTTGTACTGAGATAGCTAAACCAATACAGTTGTAATTGTATTAGTTTCAAAAACCCTAAAATAGATAAAATTAAACTTTTTATTTTACGATTTCCGTACTTTTAAAAGAAGAAATATTTTAATAATATATATTTGAAACTTGTGGCTAAATATATATATATTTCCCAGTATGATTACCTTACAGGGCTAGGTTTCCCAATTAGCTTGTATGCGTTGCAAATTTTTAACGTTTGTAAATCAGACTTCTCTTCTCACATTTGTTTAAAGTGTATTCAAAGTATAATATTATTAGTATGTTTCTGTGGAAAAAAGTATCCACGATCTTACAAGCGTAAAAGGCTCGGCATGGCCAGGTGGTTAGGGCGCTCGACTCGCAATCTGTGGGTTGCGGGTTCGAATCTCCGTTCCACCATATATGCTCGCCCTTTCAGCCGTGTGGGCGTTATAAGTCACGGCCAATCCCACTATTCGTTGGTAAAAGAGAAGCTCAATAGTTGGCGGTGGATGGTGATGACTACCTGCTTTCCCTCTAGTCTTACACTGCTAAATTGGGGACGGCTAGCGCAGATAGCTCTTGTGTAGCTTTGCGCAAAATTAAATACAAACAAACAAATATAAGCTTACTGCTCGACGGTTTTACCGGCTTGAGTCCAGGAAGGAGTAAAGACAGTGCAAAATTTTTGCCGGATCTCATATCCGGAAGCTGCAGGCAGAAACACTATATTTAGTTTTAAGACGGTTTCGATAGCATTATGAATTTATATTTTACTGATGTTCTCAAACCTTCCAGTGGTACAGCGGTAAGCCCGAGGGTTTATAAATTATAATGCTAAAAATGAGGTTTTTATACCTGAGGTGTATATATATATATATATATATATATATATATATATATATATATATAGTATAACGTAAACTAAAACTAAATTAAA